GAGAGTCGAAGGAGGGCGTGCGTGAGTGAATTAATCCCTGCGTGGGTTTCAATCGCCCGTTTGTCGCACTGAGACCCCCACAATGGCCCACCGGGCGGCTTCAGGGACCGCCCCGTTTAATTCTCCTAATCCGCGGAGAGCGATCGCGCCGTTGGGGTTCACGAGCAGTGACCTCGCGTTGACCAAGCCGGCAGACGAGTCAATGTCCAATTGTCCATTGCGGAGTGGGGGGCAGGTGCGAGGCCTGTTTGGTTTTAAAGAGTCTTATGCTGTGTCGTTTAGAAAAGTCATAATACTCATAATAACGATGGGCTCTCTTTTGTTCTTTACCCAATAGAGACTGCCCATTGAAAGAACCTTTTATAAAATAATAACACAATGGCTCCACATTGAGATGTTTGGTTAATTCTATGAATGCGTCTCTGGCCATGTGCGGAGAATTTAAATAGAAAATGCGCGCATGCGAGTGGATAACAATCAACAGAATCCACACGGATAGATTTAGGAATACACTGTTGAATTGTCATCGCTTGGCCACCTGTGTGAGATGGTAGAATTTGTTTTTCTCACTCCATATTTTGAGTGTTATATAAAATGACTGCATTATATATACGTTGGTATTGTGGTTTATTGTATTAAAAACGATACTATGCATCTTTGAGTTATGGTACAATTCTCTATATCTTATTTTTATGCTGTAGTCTTCTTCCATGTAATATATTTTAGCAAAGTAGTTTTTTCGTGGGTTATTGTACCTTTCTGTCCTCACAGCTTGGTGCTGCTGCTTGTATCTTCTCGAGTCTCATTTGTTTAAATACATAATAGCTGCCTACATAATAATGGCGGTAAGCGGTGGCACAGTGATTAGTGTGCTCTGCTATCACCCAGGCCACCTGAACTTTAATTCCGATCATGACTAAAATAATTGTCAAGTTGCTGTCTGCACCGGTCCCAGATCCCCTCCCCCTTTTCAGCAACCCACACTGACCAGCGTGGTGAAGTATGGTCAAACAAACTCCACGACTGGCATGGTGTGCAGAAGCCTTTATTCAGCACGTGAATGACATAGGGCTGTACATTATTATTATCACCACCACCACCATCATCATCATATCAATGTATTATCCACAAGCGGATAATTAAAGTTGACCCACAATGCAGTGGCTGTGGCCACCCGGACCACACATTGGGACTATATCGCGAGCAACCGCATTCCATGCCCTCTCTCCGGCGGACCGGACGGCATTTGTCACGCTGCTCCCGAAGCTATCACACGGCTCGCAAACCTCAACCTGGACGTATAATTTAGGCGTAACTTGACATTATGCAAGAAGAAAAAAAATTACCGCACCTACTTAATTTAGACATTTTGGAGCACGGTGCACAGTTCCAAGCCGCTGTTGACATTAACACACAGTCGTGCATTTCTAGATTTGAAGCTTTCGTGACTGCAAGGATCAATACTCTTTGGTTCTATTCGGTAAAGTTACGTTAAAAAAAAAATTCACGACGTTTTGGCCACTTGTGTTGTGGCCGAAACGTCGTGAATTTTTTTTTACGTGACATTACCGAATAGAACCAAAGAGTACACAGTTGTGCAACCAAAAAGTTAGTAATTCACGTTGTTGTTCCTGCTCTTGCTTACTTTTCTCTGGCATCAGCATTCTTTTATTCTTTTTCTCATTTTTCTTTTTGCCCTTTTCCTGATGACGACCGCTCGAGTTGCGATCGAAACGTCGTCGTTTTTTTAAAATTATTTTCTTTAAACCTATCCACGTGACTTTACGGAACGACCCAAAGAAAACGAATTCCTGCAGTCACGAAAGCTTCAAGTCAATGTTTTATTCTTTTAACAGGTAATAAAATAAAAGTGGATTCCAGATAACACAAAGGAAAGGGGGTGGGGGGGGATATAGTAATTATTACACAAGGCCTATGGGCCTTCATCATGACTAAAATAAAGACAAAATCTGAGTGTGTTTCATCAGTCCTGAGAAAAGCCCTCACGGCCAAATGTAGACTCATATTTTTTTTCCCCATTCCAGCCTCATTCTTAATTGCATTATATTGTTGCTTGTGGGATTGTTGGTTTAGTTTAATTTTATATCACGCACATTGCCTTCCTTCCTTTATTGCCTTCAAATATTATTGTCCCTTTTGTATAAATTATACCTTTATTTCCGACAATAAAATCTTCGCCTTGCGATTTTTTTGAAACCAGTTCAATCCAATTGCTTTGCAGTGTGTGGAGCGGGGGTGGGGGGGGGTATACTTTATAATCTACGCATTGTTGAGGAAAATAAATAACCCTTCACCTGAGCAGGTGTATGCAAATTGAATATATGGCTGTGAACCCAGCTTATGGCTCTGTAATGCGCAGTGCCAAACACCTGGTTAAGTAGCAGATGCAGAGTCCAAACCCACAATTTATCAAAGCCACCAGCTCTATTGACTTGCTTCTCGTTGCTTTAATCATGCGTTGCATAAAGCAAGTCAAAGTTTAAGTGGTTTGAGGCACTACATAAAATGTATGTAAGTACGGATAGCAAATATTCACGTTTAATAATTGACCGCGTTCATTCACGTTCATTCCCTTAATTTAAATATGTTATAATATTAATGGAGGTGATTAATAGAACATGACATGCAATGATTATTGGTGCATTTTTTTAAAAAAATAATTCATCAGCACCATAAATGTTTGTACAAAACCTATTACTTATTTATGAGCGAAACTACGTGTCATTTGGTTGACGATAACCAGAACACGTGAAAAGTTGCTTTGCTGTTCCTGACTTGATTTCGTCGGCGCACGCTCTTGCTCGCGACCATATGGCGGCAAGCTGAAACGGGATATGCCCTTTTTCACCAGCACCGTTTGCAGCGGCTGCAGGATGAACTGCGGCCACATCGCACGGGTGTTAAAGCACATAATATAACAGCTGTCGTGAGGGAAGGGCGAGCGGAGGGCTGCGGGCGAATGAGGGAGTAGGGTGGTTGAGGATGGGAAATAATGAATGCATATTCCCCTGGGATCTGACGTCGGGAGCCCTTGCGCGGGAGTGTGGCATAAAAATGTGACCTCTCCATTGTGACCCGCGCAAAGTCATTAAGGCGGCACCCCCCCCCCCCCCCCACGGCGCTGTGTCTTCATTGCCCCTCCCCCGCAGCGTCGTTTCAGTTGCACTCTGCCATCTAGTGAAGCCCGAAGGACATTACATGACAACTACTGCCCTCGACGATTGCTGGGAGTTGTTAATAACTCGTCTCAAAACCCATATTACACCAACACTCACCGCTCGCGCTCACAGTTTCCCGAGACAGTTGTGTTGTTATTCGTACCCAGCGGTACATCTACATATATGTGTACCTAAAGACTTTATGCATTTCTTCTTCTTCTATTATAATTTGTTCAGCTACAGTAAAATAGATTATACGTTGATCCACCATAATTGTAGGGCTTCAGTTGAGAGCGTTCCAGGCCTCAGGCCAAACGAACAGGACTGTGTGTGTGTGTGCTCTCACCGCCCCTGCTGGTATGTCGGCTCAGCCGGCTATTGAGGTAATTAATGCAGGCATCCCATCAGGAAGCCTGTCTATCATCAATTAGCCACTTACCCAGGCTTATGTGGGCTTTTGGGGCATCCACACTGCCCCCCGGGGGGGGGGGGATGTGCGGGCACTCGTTCCAAAAACCACAAAGACACACAACACACAACAACAACACCACCAACAACAACAACACGAAAAAAAGGGGGAACGGGATAAGAAATCGTGAAGGTTTTTGCCACGTGATGCGTCTCTCCGGTCACTGATGCACGCCGAGCGACGGTCAAAGTGTGTTGTTGTGTTCGCCGTGGCAGAACTAAAGAAAATAAAACTAACTTTGCAAAAAAAAGTCGAGGGGTGAAAGGTTTCGGCCGTTTTCATGTTTTTGTTTGTTGTTTTTGAATTGATGGCGAACGCGGCTGTAACTTTTGTTTTGTTTTGCGAGTGCAAAGTGAATCAGGTATACTCAGCTGAAACACGCGATACCACGCACGATCGAATCTCTCAACAGGTTTTTTTTTGGCGGCAAAACAAATACAAGAGCGCATTTGGCAAATGTGTACGTGCGTGGAATGTGTTAGCGTTCATGTAACTCGCTCATTGCTTCACTTTGACGGATAACAATAAAACGATTTGCTTTCACGGCACTATCCGCATCGGCACGAGTAGAGATGTAGAACTTTGAGATGTAATTCAAGTGCGAACGTCGGTGTCGTGAAAATGAAGAGCAGGTGCTGTGAAAGTTTGTGTTCCTGTAAATCTAGGCTGGAAGAATTTTTTTTTAAAAAAAGATGTTCATTCATGCTTTCAGTAGCATGAAGCGACAATAATTGCAACAGGGCTGAAAATAGAGCCGAGGGATGTGTTTAAGACCTCGTTTGGAGTGAACAATGTGTGTGCTAGTCGCAGTAGAACAACTTGTATCGCTACAGCAGAGTAAAGGCCTACACCAAGAGTATCATTATACCAGTCTACCTTGTTAAGGTGCTACAGCAAGTATAGGTTATAGCTGTACAGGAGTGTACAGTTAAAACGCTTGTGCACGGGGGCAGTTTAATTTGTTAAGCTGTGTTGGGTGGTGGAGGGATTCATGACACATTTGTTTAAATAATTTCGTGGCCTAATACAAAAATCAATGGCGAATCGTGATATTGACGATGAAAAGCCGGAGCGTTTAAACGGGTGTTGTGCAAAGCGTGCAGGAGTGTTCAGTTCCAACTATGTAAATGAATTATCGAATGTCTAAGGGAGGAGGGCGGGGGGGGGTAACACGCTTTGAAATAATTTTACCCTTGTTCCTGTAAAAATATTTAATTTTAAAAATTGCACGGTGCCTCCAAGTGCACCAATTAGGCAACATTGGATTGAAGAGCTTCATCTTGTTGCTCTAAAAGGGAGAGAAAAGGAATGAGAAAATAATACCCGACGTGTCTTTTGTTTTTTTCCCCCAGCAGCCCACCACCTCAAGGGCAATTGCTACAGCGGCAGTTTTCGGGAACACGTTGCCATGGAAGACTGTGGGTGGTGCGCAGTAGTCTGCAGAGTTCTTCTCAAAAAAACCCCATCGGTCAGATCGGAGTCACACGGAGAGGCATCCATAACCCTGCAGCCCGCAAGTGATGGAAGAAACAAGTTACTGCAATACTGCCAGTAAGTGGTTCAAAATCTGTCTCCATTTTTCAACAATAGCAATTTCCTCCGTGGATCTGCTGTTCTCGAGCATTTAGAGGCACAGTTAACTTCTTCCCTTTTCTCTTTCCTCCCACATCTGTGTAAAGTGGGGGCAGAGATGTAACCGTACGCAGTTTCCTCATTCATCCAATCCAAGTGACTTGGGTGTGGGCTTGAATTTCTGTTAGGGTGGTGTCTTGCAATATTATGGAATATGTCACTGTAAGATTTGACAGTGTATTAATTATCACTGGATGTGTAGCCAAGTTTCTATAAAATTGAGAAAATAAAATGAGGGCTTGAAATTTCTATTTTCTTACTCATAAATAAAACATATGAAACTTCAAAAATCGTCTTTTTATTTTTTACTATGTGAATATATGAGTTGTATGACGAAATTAAAATCTGCAACGTATCTTTCTCTGTTTAGCGGTAGTGCTACGCGTGGTTATTTATTTAATTAATAGACGTCCCATAGGAATAAAGTGTTAGGATTTACTGTGTACCTGACGTGCCGTTGATTATGTAATTATTATTCAGGGCATGCTGCAATTTGTCATAAAGCTCATTTGTTGGGCCGAGTGATTCAGCTTGCTATTACAAGCTAAGGTCACAATAAAATCCTTACAAAAATACCTACGGGATATCTTTCTTTAAAATATGATATTTGAACCAGCTTAGAATTTACAATTTTATCTCATCTTATGGTACATAGACATTCTAGAAACAAATAAAATATAGGTTATTAAACACTTTGTTTGTAATACAGAACTGCATTTATAGTGTTGGACATATAACAAAAACCCAACCCATTTTACGAGTCACAAACACCACCCTAAAAGGAAAAAAGTACGTATCATGTGTGATGGTTTGGGTAATTCCCTTTCATAATTATACAGATTATTACACAAATGTAGATTGCAATATGATCTACCATGCTTACCTTTCCCCACAATATGTTTTAGACGGAAGCATTGTTGTCAATCAAGATTGTTATACACTTTCACGGTTATTTCTCAAATATATAACAAACCAAAAATATTTGTTATAATCGGAATATTTGTCGCATTACATGGTTAATATTGTTTAGCATCCTAAGTACTGCTCAAAAATTGTATCTGGGTGATAATGCTACTTGAAAACCTGGCAAGTGATGTGGTTCTGCCGCTGGAATGTAGTTATACCATCAAAATAAACTGAAGCATACTTAAAAATAAAACCTGACAAACTTGTTAGATACCCTCATTATGACACGACGATATAGAACATTGAGACATTCGGGTTTTTTTTATATATTCCTCTGCTTATTGTCAGCAAGTTTATGTATTCAACTGCACATGCCCTTAAACGCACCCCTCTGGCCAAGTGTATCCATACATGCATTGCCCACGTAATGAGTCGTCCAATAGGTATTGTTTTGTTGCTGCGTTTGATTGCAGCGTTGTCGAATGCAATGTCATATTTAAATTGAAGTAAAATACATCGAATGCGCACAATTGTCTTGTATATACGTACGTACACGAGGGGGGCTGGATCAACCATCTGAGAATGATACCCTACAAAGAGTAGCGCCTAGCTAACCTTGGGCTTATCTCGAGCGCTCTCCGTGTTTCACATGACAATGAGTGCACCGACGCGGATACTTAATACTTGCGCGGAGTAAATGGGTGAATAAGTCTTTGTTTTCCTGAATTTTAGTGTCTACGTACCATAACTTTTGGACTGCCCCCCCCCCTCCTTGCCTGTGCGCATTTGTTTTATTTACTTATTAAATACGTGGCTTTAATTTCACTGAAACCATTTTTTTTCCCTTCAGGGCCAAAGGCATGACCGGATGAATGCATCGGAGCATTTGGTTTGTGTAACATCAAGCCTAGGCCTTTTAAAATATAATTCCTGTAGCTCATTGCATTAGTCCCCATACCATGCCAGGCGCATTCACAACTCTTACATGTAGCAAATAATAAATGTTTTTAAAATAATAAGAGGGCCTCAGGATGTGACTTCATGCTTCCATAATTGTAAGACACTGAAAAGCCCTTTGCAGTAATGATGCTTGAACATTTGCTGGCTGCTACCATTTATGCACATGCATGAAATGTATAGATAACTTAAACAAAATAAAATATATCAGTTAATTAATTGTAAATTGAGATTGTGTCTAACTTGACATTCCAAATGGTTATTTTAAAAATGTATTATCATTTTTTAAATAATATTTACTATGTTTCTTTAATGTTATTTTTGTAAAATTTGCATTTGTGATGCGAATTTTAAACATGTTTGAAATATATTGTTTTAATGGATTGATCTAATTTGAATTAATGTTTATATAGTGCACTTATTTTAGTGAATGTCTGCTTTGTTGTCATATATATTGAATACGCAACAATGTTCAATTTGTATAATTGATCACATATGTGGTTGGTTATCACTTATATGTAAAATTGGCACGCGTTTTTAACATTTTTATTGATGATGTGCAATGTGTTTTAACTTGATTTTAATTATAAATGCAAAACGAGTCAAAATTATCACCAACCATAAATGCAATAAAGTATACAAATTAAACATTGCTATGTATTGAATATGTAAAAAAAGCAAACGTCCACTGACATCAGTGCATGATATCATACGAATTCAAATTATACCATAAAAATGTAAAACTATACTTTTCAAACACGTTTACACAACACACCGTGTATCCGTACATGGTGTGCCGTGTTTTATAAGGTACAAAAGCCAAATCCTAATAAGATTTACTGATAAGCGTGGAAACACATGCGCCATACTGTTCCGCTCAAATCCCTGCTGTACAGTTGTGCATTGCGCCTGCAGCTAATAAACAGGCTCAGAAGGTGGATCAATGCTGTGTGGCTCCAGATTTTCAGCCTAACGGGGTTGTCGGGGAGTGGAAAGGAAAAAAAATGACAGCACTAATAAAACACCACGAATAGAATTACCAATGTGCCTCTGAAAAATTCAAACAGGCATTAATTTTAACAACTGTTTACTATGGTGTAGTTGGCGTTCCTTGTTAGGTATTTAGATTTAAAAGAAGGCGAATGTGCAACCGTTCAATTGCTTGCTCATCGTGCTACTCCTGGCGATTTAGATTGTGGGCAAATGTCTTTGTGAAAATTAAAGCATGTATTATTTTAACTGCTAGAGCAACTTCATACTATGGTGCAATTAAAATCACAACTGGAATCCAAAATGACAAATGAGTTTCCACTTAAAATGAATGTATGTTAACTTCTTTCGCACCGTACGTAACGAACTGTTCCAATCGAAGGCTAGACAACTTTAAGTACTGTAAAGCTTTGTAGATTAATTTTTTAGAGGTCAGGGCGCATCCCTGCAATTGCTTGGTCACGCCACTGCTGGCGATATATATATGTATTGACTTATTTATATCGTTAGCAGTGTGAATTAAAAAGACCCTTTCACAAGAAGATGGCATGGTTGTAAGTGGTCGCATTTTTACTTTAAACACGTAACAGAGCATAATGTAAAGTATTTTTGATAATAATTATTTTTTAATTGCAAAACGTATCTTAGTGTTATTTGTTTATTTATTATAATTAGAAATTTAATGGAATATGTAATAATTTCGTGTGCGTGAATTTTAAACATTAAGGCATTGCCCGAGCTGCATTCTGTGAATTGTCAAAACTATTTAACGATTAATATTTTTCAATAACAGCAATAATACAATATTGCTATTTGTGTATGATTCTTTGCATAATGGAAAATTAATATTGACTTTTTATAACAATTATATTAAAAATATATACTGTTTGACATAGTTAAACTGTGTACATGCCCTAAAATGTATTACCCCTGATTCCTTGTTTAAAGAGTGACAGTGAGATGTACATGTAAAATAAACGTAAAATAATTCACACCGCACTCAAGGTTTGCGTGTTGTGGCTTTGCATCAAAGGGAATTAATACCATGAAATACTTTTTCATGAAGAGCACAACGTGACTTTTGGTGCATTTCTTGTTTCCTGTTAACGTCCATGTAACAGATCTGGCCCTTATCACAAGCAGTGAGGTATTTAGCAAAAACAAACAAAACCAAACAACAACCGAAATCCCTTCCCCCCCCCCAACCACCACCACCACCACCACCAACCCACCCCCTTGCCAAAACAAAAAACATGATGTGATATCTGTCCCTAAAAGTTGACGCGTGAATTTGTAACAAAGGACGAGATATATATTTTCAATAATGGATTACGTACAGCTCGCCTGTAGTGGCGTATACTGAAGCTGTGGGGCTCTTGAGACATACAGGAAGCGGCAAATAGCTTCTGATTTCCTAAGGCAATCCGGTTTCCCAGTGAATTATTTGTACGGGCCCACGCTGGTATGTTTGCGGTCCCCATCGGAGGCAATTACGCCTTGTACCATTCTGTGCTTACCATTTCATGTTGCACTCCCGAGTTAGTTTTTTTTTTTTTACCCCCCCCCCCCCCCCCCCCCGTTTTTTATTTTACTTCTTCTCTAAGTATTTTAAATGTTCATATTGAGAACCTTTAGCACGCTGACAATGTAATGAAGCTTGTGGCTTAAAGAGAAAAATGTCTACAAGTCTTTGAAGTTGATAAGAGGCATGCAGCATGCAGATATATTTATTTATGCAAACATAAATGGTAGTGTGTGATATTTAATGTAAGGCAGAAGGAATAATGCACACAATTGTAGTTAACGGTTTAGACTGAAAATTTGCACAGATGGCCATTAATTTCTGAACCCACGTGACGTTTTTTTTCCTATTAATTTTGAATATGAAAAATGAGAAAAATACGTTCCACCCATTCTCAATCTACTGCTGGACGGAAGCCTCCCCCACACCACGTGGATCATGGAGCTTGTTTTAACCATACTTCACAACACTGGTCAGTGCTGGTTGGTGAACGGGCCAGGAGGTAAAGACTCTGTTTTGATATCACTCGCCACTGATTTTCACCATGGCCAAGAATCAAACTCAGGATTCCGAATTCATAGCACAGCACGCTAACCACTGCACTGCAGCTCCACCCTATTTTGTACACAATCCTGATGAATACATTTTAGATGCCTCAACGTGTTAATGTCATAACCAATAAAAAAAATAAGTAACCGTTGTTTCGCGACATAGCAAAATTAATCCCCTTTGTGCGAAAGCAGATCATCGGTCTGTCGCGCAATGATATACCTGAGGTTAGACGCTGTACATTGACATTCTCCATCTTTGGTGATTTGTTATCTCCAGGAAGTGGGGGTGTGTGTAACTGTCTTGCCAACACAATGACAACAAAGGTTAGCAAGCATTTTCCAGGTAGCCAAAGAAAGCCGCTGCTGTCAGGTTCACCTCAATGAAGGCCGTTGTCGAGACGACATCAGAATATTCCTGTCATAGCAGGTTCCACTTGAAGGTGAGCGATTAATCATGTGTGTCTTGTCTGAGACGCGTGAGACCTGAGCATGCAGGGGAAGAGAAAGAGAAAGGATGACATTGACTCTGTAAACTTACCTTCCATCAGACCGTGGCTGACCACCTAACCTGGCGGTCTTGAAACATTTCCATGGTTGCCACATTGAAGTATTTTTTTTCGTACCCAGGGAGAGGATTCTGTTTCATATCCTGTGCGGTATGACTGCAGCGGAAACAAGTGTCTAGAAAGTATCCAGGCTCGCCGTGAGTCATTATCTTAGGTTGCATGTTTACAAAGTTGGTCATATTCTGGGAGGTGCTAAAAGGTAGCTCATTGTGACACTTTGACGCAGTCGGTTTGTATTTGTCCGCTAAACTTTATAAAAATATGTTAAAATGAGTTGTGTTTTGTATGCTTAATTAATTGATTCCCATTTCTCTGCATAATCACTAACATGCCTGTGCCAGTCAAGATGAATTTTGCAACATATAATGCTTGCAATACGTATGTTTTTTCTCTTGCCAATAACAACGGGAAATTCTGCAGTACAGCACTCTAATTGTTGGACAAGTCTGACTATGCTGATGAGACCCAAAAGGTTGGATCCGCTGCAAAGTTTGATTGATTCAACAAATATTTGCTGGATAATATTGTTTTAATCATCCATGGGATAATGGATCAAAACAAATGTTTAAATGCAGCGTTGAATTGGGTCTGCTTTGTTATATTATTTGATCTCAATACAGGATTCCAGCGAATGGGACTTTAAATGTTTTGGAATAAGGTAATGTAGCAATGGGAGAGCCATGATTTTTTTTTATCCACGTGGGAGATATACGATATCGAGATACCGAAAAGCCATTCGGGGTTATGTGTTGTCTAAACCTCGTGCAATTTCTGTAATCCTAGACTAAAACCCCAATTGCAGAAAACAATTATCAAGAAATGTTGAGCTCATGATCCCATATACACGGCAATTTCCAGAAAGGATTTTTTGCTGTTGCATTTAGCAACATTGAGGTAATGTAAGAAATTGATATTTCGCTTTTGCTATGTTATTAACCCTTTGCGAATACTCCTACGGAAACGCTCGTGCAATCACGTTCACATTTGAAGCGGACCCATTCATGTCATGTGGATTACCACACAGTGCAGAGGCATCATTTCACAATGAAGCCTTCAATGTGGATCGTATCCTAACCGTTATACAGACTTTAATGGGACATGTATTGTGCTAGGGGTGAGTGGTGCTGCAGTGGTGAGCGCACCATACAATGAACCAGCGAACGAAGTTTGATTCCCGCCCAAAGTTAATATCAGTGGTGAGTGATATCTAAACCGGTCCTGAGTGCCTCCTCTCCCTCTACAACATTCCATACTGACCTGCGAGGTGAAGTATGGTCAAACTCCGTGGTCATAACGACATTGGGAGGCCTTCATTAAGCAGTGGAGTAAAGAAGGATGAGCATGATGTCAATAGTAATTCACTCGCTTGGAATCAACCACTTCAATGTTTACTATTTATATATAAAGCAGCTAAACTTAATGAAAGATTATACAAATTACTTGGTCCACAAAGCGTTTTGGAATGGTAAAAAAGTATATATTTCTTCTCACAATGATTATGTCTCAGAGTAAAAAAAAAGAATTGCCAAACGATCGTGTGTTAGTTTTGTGTATTTACATGTAAGCTGAAAATCATCGACATATTTAAAACTAATAACATCTAAAGACATTTATGTATATGAACATTGATTTAAGCATTGGTGTATGTCCATAGCCAATGGCTTACAGCTACTTGCCATACATTCGGTGTGTGCATTTGATTGCTATAAACCATTACTACGACTTTAATGCTCCTCATCATGGTGTTGGATATGGTAATAATTACAATATAAAGTTGACAAACAATGTACACCTCTATGTCAATGAAACACCGGTCAATGAAGACTTCCCGATGCCTATCTGACATTAAAATTGTACTTAAATTACAAAATACGATTCCAACCAGTGTAAGTTTCCTTTACATTCATAACGAGCTGAGGAATTACCGAGAAAAGTCTGCTCTGTTTGGAGGCACTGTAATTGTACGTCTGTTTGCCTATGACATGTGCTCCAGCGTCTTCAATTGAAGCTTTTGAATGAGACTCCGGGAACGGCTCAAAAAGGCCACACTTTGTCTGAATTTGGCAACTACCGCTGCATGGACAAATTACGCGTTTGAAGTTATTGATACCCATGGGCCAGAGGCGTTTTGGAGTGGCAGTGAAAGGGGGCTCTTTTCGCCAGGGCCTACGCGTGACTTTATTTACTGGTGCGGCTAAACCTCGTGTCCCCAGCCAGACTGCTTTAGGAATGAAAGGGCTTCTGTGTGAAGAGTCAAAACGACCACTTCAGTCCGTGGCGAGCCTCCCGCTGCTTTGATTTCCAGAACGTCTTTTTTAATTCCAGTGTGTGTCACATGGCTTAGGCTGCTGCTGACTATACGAGTGCTATAAAGGGATTCGGGGCGAGAGCCACCAGCTGCACAGCCCCGGGATATAAAGGTTACGGGTCTGGAGGGATGACCTCTGGTTTACTTTTTTCGCTTTTTTTTCTGTACACTGAACCGTAATGGGAACAATTGAATAGATCACCGATTTAAATATGGAGGTTTCAGTTAATTTTCAACCGTCAAATTAGTGTATTGAAAGGCATGAAAAAATGTTGTAACTAAATGTATTTATTTTGTTATTAGATATTTACAGTAAAATGTGTAAAGAGAATAATGCTATAACAATCAGTCAAATAGGCATTACTTTTAAAAAATGATTTTTATTATTTTCCAGCCCTTTGTCAATCCACTGCTGGATAGAGGGTCTCCGCACATGATGTTGGTCGTGGACAATTTATCACCATACTTCACCATGCGAACCAATGCAGGCAGGTCGGTGAAGAGGGGACGCAGCATCAATTCGAGAATCACTCGTCACCGATAATAGCTTTGGCAGGGAAGTGAAGTCAGGTCGCCAGGCTCGTTAAACAGTGTGCTAACCATATTATTTATTTGTCTGTTTTCATATGTTGTTTGTTCATCTGCACAACTTAAAAATATAATGCTTTTACAAGTGATGGTATGAATCAGCTTCTATGTGAATTTCAGAATTGTAACGCAATACATTAACTAGCATAGCAATTTTGACTTAAAACTTTCGTGACTGCAGGAATTCATATTCTATGGTTCTTTCGGGAAAGTCACGTAGATAGAAAAAATAATAACAATAAAATAATTCAAATGAAAATAAAGTGATTTAAAAATGACAAAAAATATCACAACGTTTCGATCACAACACAAGCGGTCGTCATCAGGAACAGGGAGGTTAGCCTCTGAGGGCAAGCTGTTTATAAAGGTTTAGAGATGGGCGGGGCAGCTAATGTTAATGTAGGAGAAGGCTCTGACACCGGCAGTTGGTCTACACCAATCAAAGTGCTGTTTATAAAGGTTTA